GGCATAGATGTTCAGAATTGAGACTTCGCCTTGATGGATTTTTCCTGTGATGAATATGAAATGTCCTTCTTCATCTCTTTTGATTGATTTTAATTTAAAGTCTAATTTGTTAGTTACTAGGATTGCTACACCAGCTTGTTTCTTGGGTCCCTTTGATTGGAAAATCTTTTCCTAACCTTTCACTCTGAGGTAACGTCTGTCTTTGACGTTGAGATGTGTTTCTTGTATGCAGCAAAAGGATGGGTTCTCTCTCTCTCTCTCTCTCTCTCTCTCTCTCTGTGTGTGTGTGTGTGTGTGTGTGTGTGTGTGTGTGCAACTTGACACAAGCTGGAGTCATCTGAAAGAAGGAAACTTCAATTGAAAAAAATGCCACCATGAGATCCAGCTGTGAGCTGTTTTCTTAATTAGTGATTGATGGGGAAGGACCCAGCCCGTTGTGGGTGGTACCACCCCTGACTGGTGGTCCTGAGTTCTGTTAAAAAGGAGACTGAGTAAGCCATGATGAGCAAGCCAGTGAGCAGCACTCCTCTATGGCTTCTGCATCAGCTCCTGCTCCAGGTTCCTGCCCTGTTTGAGTTCCTGTCCTGACGTCCTTCAGTGATGAGCAGTGATGAGGAAGTGTGAGCCTAATAAACCCCTCCTTCCCCAAGTTTTTTTTTTTTGGTTGTGGTGTTTCATCACAGCAACAACAATGAGTGGGTGTTTTGTTTGTATGCATTTATGTGCACTTTGTGCATGCTGTACCCACAGAAGCTGGATGGCAGCAACAGGTCCAGTGAAACTATAGTTCAGAGACAGCTGTGAGCCACCATGTAGACACTGGGAACCAAACCCCAGCCCTCTGCTGAACCCTCTTTCCAGCCTCAAGACTCACTCTCTTGGAATAAAAATACAGGTATAGCCTTCCTTTTCCTCCCTCACCGAGCGCATGAGAATTAGCACTGAGGCTGGAAGTGGGGCTCAGGAAGCCACTGCCACAAAGGAAACATACGGCTTACTAGTATCCAGGCATGTGTACTGGTTCTGACAGAATGCGCCATCAGCTGCAGCCACTAAGAGCACCACCTGTGCAGATTCACTATGGTCCCTTTTTAAAGGGCCCTGCCCGCCTCCCATCCTCCTCTCTTTCTTTCTCTCTGTTCCCCTTCCACCCCCTCAGACTCCCAGTCTTTCCTCTCTCTCCCCCTCTTCCCTCTCTCCTCTCTCCTGCTGCTCTTGTCACTGGAGGCCAGTCCCCCATTCCCTTTCCCCTTTTTATGATCCCTTTTCCTAATTAAAAAGAAAACCAAACCTCTGCTTGAACCCTGTCACATGGCATCTTTCTCTCATGTGCCACTTTTCTTAAATTGCAACACAACTGAGAAGAAACCACAACCCTGTGAAATTGTTTAGACTGAAACAGACCCCTCCTCTCCCTCAGGAGTGCATAGTCACTCCTGTGCCTCAAGCATTGCTCGTGAACTGTTGGTTATTAGTTTTCCAGCAAGCAGAGCAGAAAACGTAATGGTTAAAAAAAATAGAGTTAATGGCCCTCCTCCTCATTTTCTGTGCTGTGTTGTGTCTCTTTCATCTGAAGTGCGTGTTCTAAGACGGAACGCCTCACTTTCTCTCCCTGGATACATCCCTTCCTTTCCCGTGTTTGCATATAACCACAAAGAGGAGCTTAATGGAAAATATCTAGATATCCTGAATTCTGGGAGGTAATTTTCCCAACTCAGCAAGCCAGACTGAATGACACAGGCCTGTAATAGCAGCTACCTGGGAAGCTGAGGCAGGAGGCTCCCAAGCCCAAGGCCAGCCAGGGCTACAGAATGAAGTCAGGGCCGGCCTGGCCTACAGAGTGAGGTCAAGGTCAGTCTGGAAAACATGGTAAAAATTAGGCTCAAATTTAGAAATAGGGTGCTGGGGAGAAGGCTGGATACTTGCTGCTCTTGTTTCGTTCTCAGGACCCATACTAGGCACCTCACAATCTCCTGCAACTCCAGCTCTAGGGATATCCTATGTCTCTGGCCTGCACTCAGATGCAACACACACACACACACACACACACACACACACACACACACGAAGAAAGCCAGGCATGCAGGTGCCTGTAACCCCAGCTTTGGAGAGCAAAGACAGGCAGATCCTGGGAGCTCGGTGGCTGGCCAGCCAGCCTAATGAAAACATTAATCCTTGAGTTTAGTCAGAGATTCTGTGTCAAGAGAAAAACACCCCACATTCTCCTCTGGTCTGTGTGTGCTCAAACACACGTGCATACACAGAGCATGCAGGAACACACTCACACACACACACACACACACACTTACACAGTGGTCTCTACATTAGTGTTTGAGCAGTCACCCTTTTCCTCATTGCCTTCACAGAAAAGCTGAGCTCTGAGCAGATGCTCACACTCCCTTTATGCTAACACATGGAAAGAGTCTACATTCTACTACAGAGGTGCCTGTTCCTCTGAACGCTGCTGCTCTGCTCACAATTAGCCAGAAATAGAAGCAGCATAAATGTTCATCTATGGGTGAGTGGAAGAAAATACAATACATTTACACAATGGAGTGTTAGTCAGCTGTTAAGAAAAACAAAATTGTGAGATTTTCAGGTAAATGAATAGAACTAGAAACAGTCATTCTTGGTGGGTTTAGGCTCAGAAAGATAAAAGTGCCTTGTTTTCTCTCATTTGTAGATGTTAGCTTGGATATTTTCAGATATATATGTTTCATTTGGAATACCCATTAAGGTCATAACTAAGGGGTCATGGTGAGGGAACTTTCAAGAAAGGGGAGGTAGGATGCAGTGGTCTAATGGGTTCAATGGAAATAATGGAACAGGAAGGTCAAAAATAGATTTCCTGAAATTCCCAAAGAAACAATAAAAGGGGGCTAAATTTTTTAAAATAGAAGAAGACTATTTCAAATGCTCATTTGGGGTTGCTATTGCAGCTAACATGGATGACTATTACGTTGGCGTAGCTCCTGTCTAAAATAACAAAAAGAACCTGCCAGTCCCGAAAGAAAAGTAACCAAATTCCACTCCTTTGACCGTCTCCCAAAATCTCCAGGTCTCAGATCCAAAATCTGAGTCCTGTGTGATTCCTGATCAAAAACAAACAAACTCTGCAGCAGTTAGACTAAACAGTAAATAGTACCATCCAACCACACACTCTAAAGAACACACTGGGAACTGTTCTTTCCACTTTAATATAGCATGTATCCATGCTTTCAAATGCTGAGTTCCCATTGGTTTTCACATGCTCACTCTTCCATGGCTGCCCACCTCCAGCTAGGTCTTCAGATAATAGAAGGTTTAGCCCTGGAGTGAGCCAGGTCTTCATTTCAGACATGAAAAAGTGTGCTGGAGCAGTCATTTGAGTTCTTATACCCCTACTTGATATAATGGCCCAACTGAGTGCTTGATGGAACCTCATTACATCCCTTCTTTTCTGCCATTACACAAGGTCGGTCAAGTCAGGCAAAAAGCTGTGACCTCTATTTTGTTTAACTATATGAGCAGGTGTCACACTCACATCTCAATTCAATGAAGTCATTTTGGCATTTCTTAGTGGAAGTAATCTTAAACTGCATACAAGAAATACTAACCAAATACAGGTGGGATATCCCTAGCCCTCTCCTGAGGACCAGGATTGATTCCCAGCACCACATGGCAGCTCATTACTATCTGTAACTCTAGTCCCAGGGATCCAATGGAATCTATTGGCCTCTGCAGGCACCAGGCACACAAGTAGTACATGCAGGCAAAACACCCACACACACAAAATAGAATATTTTAAAGATTTATTTTACATTAATTATATTCTATATACATTAACTATATAATAGTTATGTGCTTTACTCCTATAATTAGATTATATACATTAATTATGTATATAATTAATATATATGGGTGGTGGTATGTGCATACGAGTACAGGGGTCTGAGACATTAGATGTTCCTGAAAACTAGAGTTATAGGTGGTTGTGAGTCACCTCATGTGTGTGCTGGGACCTGACCTTGGGTCCTCTGCTACAGCAGCACACACTCTGAACTACAGATCCCCCTTAAAGCTGTTTTCTTTTTTAATTCAGTCTCACCCATCCAGAAGGCCTGCCATCAAGAAAGTAAACTACAACAAAGCAGGTAAAGATGCAAGAGAAGAGGAACCGTGTTCACTCTTGGGGGAAATGCAAACTGCGGCCACTATGGAAAGATTGAAGAGTTTCCACAAACAAACAAGCAAGCAAGCAAAAACCTAAAACTCAAAGTACCATATGACCAGCTGCACACCCCCGCACACATACACAACCACCATAAAGACATTTGCACAGCCATGTCCATTGTTTGTGATTCACAATACTGGGAAATGGAGCAGCCTATATCTCAGTAAACAGACAAATGGTTGAAGAAAATGTAGTGGCACCTGCCTTTAATTCCAGCACTTGGGAGGCAGGGGCAGGAGGGTCTCCATGAAAAAATTAAAAAATGAGATGAGGACACTTGTAGGAAAATCGATGGGAAATGGAAGTTACTATCTCAAGCAGTGAACCCCAGACTCAGAAAGACAAATACTACATGGCTGATCTCAGAACAGGTTTCAGTTCTAGACATATGCATACATGTATGAGGCCATGAAACTTGAGAGGGGAAAGACAACCAACCTTAGGGAAGGAGATGTTTTAAAGGATAAGAATGAGTAATGGAACACGTGTGACATGAAGGCAGGTGGGAGGGGAGTGGAAGGGACCAAGAGGAGTGGTGGCAAGAGACTGGGGGTCAACAAAAGCAAATATGAAAACTGTAATGAAAGTCATTCTTTATGTACTAGTTCTTAAAATAATGAAAAGAAACGTCCATGGCCTGAGTGCTGAGCAGCTGTAACCCATGGATGAAGAGAGAGAGGTAGGGTTCATCCTTAGGGTTCTGTCAAACATGGTCTTTCAAACTCCATGGCTGGGTAGCCAAGCACTTATTGTCCTGCTCACTACACTGACTCTGGATACACCAGCACCCTGCCCAGGCCCTGGGGAAATTCAATTCAAATATGGGTTCAACTTCTCAGAGAAGGGGAGACTCCACCTCCAAGACAACTCATCTCAGTGCAGCCTGGGTCTCTCCATCTGCAGTTGGGAGCACCATGGAGGCTCGAGGGATGCGCCTGGCCCTGCGGCTCCTCACACTTTGCACACTCATGCACGTGCTCTCCAGTGAAATATTTCCTCCAGCACTCAGACAAGAGCTGTGTGAAAGCGGGTATCTCGGAGGTAAGCAAAAATGAGCATTCGAGCTGGAGAAAAACGGTGAAGGAGAAAGAAATCCAGGTGATCTGGATGGCATTGCTGCTGGTCAGCCAAACCCTCCTCTTAGATCAACTCCATGGGCCTGGGGCTTCTGATTATATTGAATTCCCGGTACAGGTTGGAAAAAGAGGAAGACAGAAAAGTAAAATCAACTTAAGTCTCTCCCAAAGAGTTTCAGTGACAAAAAGAAAAGGTTAGGGATCATAAAAATTGGATTAATATTAGGGTATCTGAGCAAATTCTCTCTCTGTCTCTGTCTCTCTGTGAGTGTGTGTGTGTGTGTGTGTGTGTGATATGAGTTTCATTTTTATTCAATAGAAATCTTCAGAGGACCACTGTGTTACATTCCTTGAATTCAGAGGGGCCAAGACCATCATCCGCACTCCCATGTTACTTTTTTTTTTTGAAACAGGGTTTCTCTGTGTAGTGCTTGTAGACCAGGCTGGCCTCGAACTCAGAGAGAGATCCGCCTGCCTCTGCCTCCTGAGTGCTGGGATTAAAGGTGTGCACCACCACCGCCTGGCCCATTCTACTAAGTGAATTTGCTTTTAATTTGAATTCTAATGGGTACCTTGGGAAACTCAGAGTAGAGATAGGAAATTCCCAGGCATGGAGAGGACGATAACTGGACTTCATGAAAAACAACATTGACTTCCTTTGTCTCTAACATGGTCACCATGGCTCCTGCTGGAACGCACTTCTACACTCAGTGAAAACCGGTGAGTCTAGGGTGAACAAAGGGAAGCGGGAGGAGGGAGGCTCTGCCAGATTTGGCAGCAGAAATTAAGCTTCAGGAATAGCTATGCAAGGTAGAAAGACATACATGTTCGTGTGCTCTTGGTGATGAGGGCAAAAGGGACTAACAGAAGGACTCCAAAAGATCAGTACCTACAGACACCAAGCAAGATGTTCACTTCCAGAGCCAAGGGAAGTACGCAGAGATACAGGGAGCAGGATGCTTAGTGCAAACAAGGACTACTGGGGAGGGTGTGGTCCTTCTCCAAGTAACCTCCATCACCCTGACCCAGGCTACGGGCAGCTCAGGCTTACTGTCCTGTATCACAGAGAGCAAAGTGCATGTTCGAGGCATTGTAACTTGCTCCCCAGTGATAAAATCAGATCTACTTGGGGCAGGGGAGAGCTTTCATAGTCTGAGTCCATAAAGAAGACTGGTGATTCTTTTAGTAAGAGGCTCTGCTTCTTGTCGACAGAACTCTGCAACCACCCTGTAAGGAAAGGATCCTGTAAGTTGGCTCTGTACAGATACTACTACAACAAGATCACAGCCTTATGTGAACCCTTCGTCTTCTCTGGCTGTGGAGGCAACAGGAACAACTTTAAAAGTAAATACGCCTGTGAGTTCTATTGCATTTATAAGCAGGTAAGTCCCTTGGGGCCTCGCCCCACCATTAATGATGCTGGATGGCTAGGATCATAGTTTTACAGGCAACACTTAAAAAGAAGCTAGGACAAAATGAGCAAGGACTCGAGAAATTACTTCCAGATGCAGATAAGTTAGTCTTCAAATCTGGTGCCCTGAGTTGGTTTGTTGTTGGTGGTTGGTTGGTTGGTTTTGGTTTTATGAACTCACTACACAGCCCAGGTTAGTGTCAAACTCTTGGTGATCCTCCTGTCTCAGACTCCTGAATGTTGGGATTACACAAGTAAGCCACTGTGGCTGGCTAGGCATTAATTTTCAGCTTGAAAACAACACAGGGTAAACCAGGCATTGGTGGCGCTCACCTTTAATCCCAGCACTCAGGAGGCAGAGGTGGGTGGATCTCTGAGTTTGAGGCCAGCCTGGTCTACAAGAGCTAGTCCCAGGACAGCTTGCAAAGCCACGGAGAAACCCTGTCTCGAAAAGCCAAAAAAAAAAGTCAGAACAAAAAAAAGGAAGAAATTTAAAGCCCAAAGCAGCTGATACCTTGCCTTTCACTCAGAAGGACAAGGATGCAAAGGTCCTAACTCCAGCCAGCATCTCACTACTATGACAATGTCCTGGGTCTTTGAGAGCCTCAAAGGTTGCTGTTTGGTGGTTAAAAGAAAAGCTACTGGAACGTCAGGAGAATAGGGAAGACCCCAGGCACAGTGCAATGCTTGTCATGACTGTCTAAACAGAAGGCTCACACCCCAAGACAGAGGTGCTGGTTGACTGATGTGCATATTCCCACAACCCAGGACCACACCTGTTTTATTGATTTTTTTTCTAGGTAGAACATTAGCAATAAAGAGTTATGGAATTGGGGTGATATCTTAAGAACCACTTGATTGGGTCCTTTTAGCTAGACTGATGACCATAACAATCACAAATGTTCTTTATTAACAGAAGGACTAATCCAAAACCAGCCAGCAAATGAATAAGTGAAAGCAAATAACGGATGGGGAAAAAACAATGCGGAAACTGTGCTGAGTGAATAAAGTAGAAATTTCTGACAACATCTAGAATTTGAAACTCTTGTTCATTTCCTTGCCTGATTAATCTTTCTCACTTGTTAGCTGAATGCAGTCTTAACTGAACTTCAGCTCCTGTATGAATTCATGCATCACTTCTATCAAAGATGCTTCTGATATAAACCACATATGACGCCCCCTACAGGCACCAGCCCACTCCCCTTCATAAGTCAATTACTGTGGCATCCTTCATCTTTGCTCCCTAGCTGACTTTGTTTCTGAATTTCATAATAGATCAAAATAATTGTCATTCAGTTCTCACATCTGCTACAAATCAACTATCATCCACCTCCAAGCATGCCTTTGTTCTAGGGAAGCGAATCTAGTGTCCCAGGTGACGGCACTATAGACGTCTCAACATTGCAGCTGGGAGCTCTAAATCTTGAGCTGCCACAGTATGGAAGGTCACTACTGCTTCTGATTATTTAAATTCTTGTCAACAACAGAGCCTCACAAAGGAATGGATACCTGAACCAAAACCCTAGGCTTGTAAATAATGAAAGGAATAGTGGTCCCAGATGAGTCAGATTGTGATGATTCCAGCTCAGTCCAAACACCAGCAACCACAGAACCTATAAGGGCACAACTTCTAGAAACCCTTGGGAAATGACAGAAACCATAGATTAGAGGCTTAACATTCACTCCATCTCCCAAGGGATTACTGCAAAGCAGGGCAAAGGAAACAAGGAGGTTCTCCAAGTCCAGTATCCCAAACTACGCTGTGTTCCATGAAACTTTCCTCCCTCTGATTATGCTAAGATCTGGTACTTTATAATTATGCTCAAGTACCATTTCTTTGAAAAGTTTTTGAGAACTATGTTCTAGTTCAAAGAATGGCTGTGAGTAACATGTTCAGTAGAGACAAAGAACTCAGGCAGGGCACAGATTCCTCTTAGGTTGCTTCTGTTTCTTGATAGATACTAATTATACTTCTTTAAATAAAAGGCAAACTTAGGCTCAGTTGATAAAGTGCCTGCTGCACAAGCATGAGTGTGATGCCCAGCACCTGTGCCAACTGAGAGGAACAGATGCAGCGGCCACAGCCAAACACCAGATGAAGCCAATGGAACCCCTAAGAAAAGGGGGAGGAAGGACCCACAGAATCAACTAAACAGGGCTCACAGAAACTGAGCAACATTCACAGACCCTGTGCGGGTCTGAGCTAGGTCCTCTGCATATATAGTTGTGTAGCTTAGTGTTCTTGTGGGGCTCCTAACAGCAGGAGTGGGGGTGTCTCTAACTCTTTTGCTTGCTCTTGGGACCCTTTTCCTCCAACTAGGTTGCTTCATCCAGCCTTGATATGAGAGTTTGTGCCTGGTCATATGTAATTTGTTATGCTGTGTTCCATGTTTGGTTGGTATTCCTGGGAGGCCTGCTTTTTTTTTTTTGAGGGATAACAGAGGAGGAGTGCACCTGGAGGAGAGGTGAGATGGTAGGAGGCCTGGAAAGAGTAGAGGTAGGGGAAACTGTGGCCAGAATGTAATATATGTAAAGAATAAAAATTATTTTAAAAGCCAACAGCCAAACACAGGGTGGGGGTTGCATATCTATAACCCTAATGCAAGGAAGGGGTTAAGACACAAGCTGTTTCCCCAGAGCCTGTTGCCCAGGCAGTCCAGGCAATCAGCAAGTGTCCAGCAAGACAAGGGGTCCTGCAAAGAGGCTGAGGCTTGGCACCCCTAACCTCAAAAGATCAGGCCCAATGAGACCAAGAAAGACACTTGGCACCAACCTCTGCCCCCAACACAGAAGTAATTAATAAATAAATGCAATAACAGGTTAACTTAAAATTAAATGCTGGGAACTTGGAAGAAAGTTCACTCACAGGGCGTTGAGTTTTATCCTAAGAACCCACACGACAAGTTGGGCATGGTGGCAATGCTGGTTGTGGAGAGACAGAGATAGTCAGATTTCTGGGGCTTACTGACCAACCAGCCTAGCTTACTTGGTGAATTTTGGGGTCCAGTGAGGTCCCCTAAAACAAGGTAGTTGGCCATGATGGCACACACTTCTAATCCCAGCACAGGGCAAACAGAAGCAAGAGGATATCTGTGAGTTCAAGGCCAGCCTGGTCTCTACTTAGTCTACTTAGTCAGGGCTATATAGAGAGATCCCGTCTCAAAAAGAAGAAGAAGATGGGGAAAAAAAACCAAGGTGGGTTGCTCCTGAGGAATGACACCCAAAGCTGATTCTTACCTCTACATATACACAGGACAAACTCTCACACACACACACAAAGGAACACACATACATGCTTGCACACACACACATATACACAAATTACATATATGACATGTTTTCAAAAGACTCTACACAAGGGCTGAAGAAGGAACTCAGTGGTTAAGAGAAATCGTTACTCTTCCAGAGGACCTAGTTTGATTCCCAGCATCCACATATTTCACGTGAAACAGGCTCACAAACGTTTCAGAGAATCAGACGCCCTCTTCTGGCCTCTGAGGGCACCAAGCACACATGTGATACACAGGCATAAAATAAAATCTTTTGAAAATGTAAAGGCTGTCTATACCCCTAACTATGCATAGTGGCATGCCTTTTTCTTTCCTGGTGACAAAATTCACTTCTCCCCCTCTTCATGGTGCCTGGTTGTGGGGGTTGTAAGCACCCAGGGTGACATCACCCACCATGGGCTGGGCCCTCCGCCATTGATCACTAATTGATAAAATGCCTTACAGCTGGATCTCATGGAGCATTTTTTTCTCAACCGAGTCTCCTTCCTCTCTGATGACTATAGCTTGTGTCAAGTTGACGCACAAAACCAGCCAGCGCAACTCACACCTTGTCAACTTGATGCACAAACACATCACTAATAAGCCACAACCCTTCCTTTGTTACTCATCTTCAAGATCTCACGGTAAAAACACAGCTTTGAAAGTCCTCACAGTCTTTACAAATTCAAGCACCTCAAAATTTCAGTTCCTTTATCATAGGCAATCTCTTTAAAAATCCAAAGCTTTAAAATCTGAAGGCTCTCAACTGTGGGCTCCAGTAAAAGACCTTCGTACTTCAAGAGGGAAATTTCAGGCACAGTCACAATCAAAGCAAACCAATTCCAAATGTCCACTCACGATCTGGGCTCCTCCACAGAACTTGGGTCACTTCCCAGCTCCGTCCTCTGCAGCGCACACAGAGCTGTCTTCTAGGCTCCAGCTGGCTCCACTCCACTGCTGCTGCTGTCCTTGGTGGTCGTCACATGGTACCGGCATCTCCAAATCACTGGGGTCTCTGCTGCAACTGGGCTGCACTTTCACCAATAGGCTCTCATAGGCTCTCTTCATGGTGCCAAGCCTCAACTTCTCTGCATGACTCCTTCAGTCCTGGGGCTTCTACCGCTATGCAGCTGCATCTTCACCAATGGCCTCTCTTGCCCTCTCACAGGGACAAGACTTAGCTGTTCTCCATGACCCCTTCATGCCTTCAAAACCAGTGCACCTGGGTGACTCTTACACATTACCAAGTCTGGCTGCCAGGACGAGCTACAACCTTGGCTGCCTCTGGAATGCAACTTCCCTGTGCTCTCAGGAAACTCTCCCAGAAGATTTCACCTCAGTGATGCTGCTCTCTTCTTAATCACCACTAATTTCTTAGCTCCAGTAGACCAATAGCAAGTAATCCAGCAAAGTTTTGTTTTAGTAGTTCTGGTATTTTGTTAATCACAGCTGATTCTTCAGCCCCAGCTAACCAGAACAACAGAATCTTAATTCAAAATAACAAATGGCTCTGATAGTCTTTAAACTTCCCTCTGGAACTTCACAAGCCAGGCCATCTACACTGTTCTCAACATTCTATCTCCCAAGCTCCCTCAGAGCATCCGACAGAGCCCTTAACACTCAATGGTTCTTCTAGCCCACAGTTCCAAAGTCCTTCACGATCCACCCCAGAAACATAGTCAGGTCTGTCACAGCCATATGTGTAGTACCAACTTCCTTAGTTAGGGTTTCTATTGCTGTGATGAGGAAAGGGTTTATTAGGCCTACACTTCCACATCGCTATTCATCA